TACTCATTACCGCAGTCATTATACTTGGAACTTTGTTCAGTGGTACTTATTGAAATAATCTTTGAGCTACCGATCCAATTATAATTTCTGGACAGATGTCAAGGACCCATTTTTATTGTCTAGCGTCACTAGAGATATTATATGGGTGAAATAATACTAGTTTTCATTGTCTATTGCATCGTTTAAAATTTTCTCTAGGGTTATATTTAGTATCGACTCACGTAATGTATTATTCTATAAGATGCAATAATTTCGGTATGATAAATTCAAAACAAAAAACAACAAAATGAGAAAAAGACAATTTTCTTTCGATTGGAGTTATTCAACTTTAAAAATTTACTCGCAGACCTAAGTACCAAACATCTTATGGTTAATTTATTATTTTAGAATAAAATATATTATCTTCTTTAGTTTTAAGAGTAATTTTTATTATTAAAAATATGTGTTTGTTTTATGATAATTTTTAATGCGTAACAATTTTTTTTTCTTACCTTGTGGTTGGTTTAGGAGACGTTAAAGATAACCGCACTGGTTTTCTGTTCAAATACCTATTAAGTGGAGTTATATATGTCACAAATGATAGACATACTCCCCAGAAAGCCATCTTGGGAGTCATCTTGATTGATCCAGGCGATGGAACCTTAAAACAGAAACATTGAATTAGATGATTATATTTTTAAAAAATGTCTAATACAATTGCATTTGTGCTTTCGTTTTAGCTAACAATACGATTATATGACTAAATAATATGAAATTTAGTCAATACAAAATTAAAACATAGTTCACATTATTAAGCAGGTGACGATAATTTAATTTTCTATGAGTAGCTGGTTTCCGTACTATGACATTTATCTAGGTGAGTTGATTTATTGTAAAATATGGTCTTAGAAAAAAGTATAAAACATTTACTTACAATTTGAATACAAAATAAGTAAATAATACTTATTACAAGAATATGGTTGATAACTTTGACGATATTTTAAAGCTTCTTAAGTATACACTTTAACTGATCACAATTAATTGAAATTATTAAAGGCACTTAAACCGCATAAATATTGTGTCAAAGACGAAAATATGAATAAACATATAGTATTACGTTTCTTAGATGAACAAAATGTATTATTTTGTGGAACCGACAAAAAACCTTTAAGGCCAGAAAATATTGTTTTGAAACATAACGTAAAAAAAAATAATAAAACATTTTATAGATTTTTTTTTTAAGCGGGAAATTTGATCGGTTGTATAAGTCGGAAACAAATGTATGACAGTCGACATTTAGTCAAAATCAAAATGTGGTTTAAGGAGGACGTTGCGATCGCTGCTGCTGCTTGCGTAATTTTAAGTTTAAAATCAAAAAAACCAAAAAAAATATTTTGGGTTCGTCCAAGTCTTTTAACAAGGAAACAATAAAGTGGTAGTGATTTAATGATTGACCTTCAACGTGATGACATTAATCTATCTGGAGAGTTGAGGTATGCTATAGTACCGTAAGAATGTTTCTTTTATTACCAACCCAATAATCTGTGCATGTCTCCAAAAACCGTTTGAAGTGCTTGTTCCTGTAAACCCACACAAGTAGACAGACCATACACACTACAAAATAAGTTTTAACAGAGATAAATATATTTTGATTTTACAATGATAAATTCCTATGGAGGAAAGAATTTACTGTCCGATTTTGGAAGCAGAAAAAATTCTTCAGCTGAGTACGAATGGGCGCCGTTCTGTAGTAACAAAGATGGATATGGTTTTGAATCTGATGGCGTATGATTGGGCAAGACGTCACCAAATTTTTTAAACAAATTTCAGTTCTTCTAATATTTTCTATATTTAAATAAAAATACAATTAAATCCATTAGGAAAGTATTTAAAAAAAGAAAATGTTATTACACCGCTAATAGTTCATAGATTTACACTCAGTCTACGCCATAAAAGAAAATAATAATTATTATAAAAAAATGTCGTTAAATATACTTACGGAAATAATACAAAATAAAAATTTTAAGTATTCAAAAAGTAGACAAATTACATTTAATATTTTTTAATTTAATTTTAAAGCCCCAGTACCTATTTTCAACTATGATCAAATATCCTTAAGTACGTTTTTTGGCGTTTTACTTTTTACATAGTATTTGAGTTGCTTACAAATAATTCAAATTTGGATAATAAACAACCAGGTTACGTCTCCAAACAATAATCAGAAAATAGTTTATCATCCGTATGGATATTATTACCGTGCACCTATAATACATAATTGGCAACGTAAGCAACGTTAAAGCAAGAAGTAAAAGTAATATAGCGCACACAATTTTTAGCCTAAAAACGTTCTACCGATAGTGACAGTGCGCAATCGTATCGCGCTCAAATTCTTCAATATTTTATATGTATTGAGGGTGGGTTCAAGCAGTAAATTCTTATGTGTAATTTGGATGGTCCAGACTGCCAGATGTCTAGTACTATTCTTAATAAATTACGGAAAAACTAGAATACCTACTGGACACCACCGGTTTTGGACCTAATCGATTTTGTGTTTATTTTGGAAATACAATTTATGCAAGTACATTAATAGAATACAAAGTTCACGTGGCTTTAAGCTTTGATGGTTCAAACTCACAAATAAGTGACAATAAATTGGTGTTAGTTGATTAAGTTTGCCCATGGATTTTAATAAAAAGGTAAATCGTGATTCGTACCAAGCATGCTGAGCTCCTATTTTTCCTTCAATAATGCAGTTACCTACCTTCTCAAAATCTGATTTTTGGAATACCTAAATATACTTTAGGACCATATTTTTAAAATGTTTAGGTTTTTTTGTGCTACTTGAGAAGGTTTAGTAATCATCCTGTATAAATTACAAAACTTGTTTTACATTACTGTTCAAGTATTATCAAAAATATAGTACATCATATTTTTTTAAATTCATAAAACATTAGTAATTGATCCATAAGGAATTTAAAGGCATCCCAACTTTTTGTCACGTGGCCCGGTCAGTTTATTACCATCAATATTCAATAATGATTGATGTTTAAGAGGACTTCGTCCCACATATGTGTGGTCACCGTTATGACATACCCAATTTGCGTTCAGCGGTTCTAATTTATGTTATCTTAAATGCATTTAATTTATTTAATATTTAAAGTGATTTGACCTACTATTAAACATAAGCCGAAGAATATTATTCGAGTTGTCTTCTTAGATTGTACGATGTGTTAGTTTTTGTGCAAGTTATATATGAAACATGAGTACTTATGTAAAATACAAATACAGTGAAACTTCCACATAAGTATAATATACGTTTTATTATAAAGGACTTCTATTTAACGAAATTCCATTTAATGATATGATCTATTTAATTAAATATTTTTAAGAACCAAGTTTATTTAATTGTATTTGACGAATTTCTCTAAAATATGAATATTTTTGTCTATCACGAGACTTCGTAATATGAGAGTTTTAATCTATTTAAAAATATCCATAGTACTTTTCTCAAATTCTCTCTTATATTTTCAAAATTTTCAAAATCACTTATATACAAATTTTTGATTAGAAACAGTTTTAATAATATTTTTGCATTAAGCTCGTTTTAATTGGTATTAAAGATAAAAATAATTAATATACGTTGTATATATTTTAATATGTTGTAAGAGAAGTACAATGTATAGGTACATAAAATATATATGATTGAGTAAAAATAAATATAAGGCAATATAAAATGATTATGTGATTAAAGCCGAACTGAATTTAAATTTTTCAAAATTCCACGACCACCACAATTATTCATACACATTTATATTTTATAGAAAGCGCCGGAAATACGAATCCCACCGTCAAAATCCGGACCAAAGAGGGAAAATAACTGAACAATAAAAATACTTTATTTTAATGTTGTTTTTTTTTTTGCTTTTTTTCGTGGTTCTCAACCTGTTACAACCGGTACAATACGGTGGCGCAAGATCGACTTGATGTGAAGCGAGAAATTTCATACATGTATATGCGCGTGGTGATAATTATTAGATTATTAACTTATACAGTGTATAGACTTAAAATAACTGGTTATCAAAAATAAAGGTTTTCTGGACCCCAAACATTTTTTTCATAACATCCGGATGATCGCCTACTTTGACACTCATTGCTGACCTCTGCTTTATAGGATTTGTTGTCATTCCGTTTTTTGGTTTATTCAGTGAATATAATTGATTAAGTCCTATTCATTTCAGACTCAATTTAAACCACCCCATAACAGTGGAAAAAATAACTTTGATAACTCATATGTATGTTGTTATATGTTCATCACAGCGGGTGTCTGTAGTCCTCAAGTGCACGCAGTGTAATATTACGAAAAACTATAATCATAATTTTTATTTGAAAACCACAGTGGACTCATGTAGGTATCTACCTACGCATAATATAGTATTGATCGGTGTCAGTTATCTCGTGATAAGCGCCTGGCGCCTGGCGAAAAGATAAATTAACTAATGTCGATAGTAGGAGTATTATAGTTGTATTGTTATGTCAATAGAAACATGTAGCCCACATCATAGCTGTCGGCGAATTGGGTTTTTTGGTCGATAAACGTAGTGTCAGCGACCTGGGCATAATCCCCCCTCAATATTATAAAATTTAAAAAACGCCGCTGGTTATTATGAATCATGAATTGAATATGTGGCTTGTGGCTACGTAAGATTTTATAAGTATTAGAGCAGGTCGACTGTCTAATTTTTATCTCTGTGTATTATTCAAAAATCTTATTTATAATTACATATTATCTTATACACACATTATCACATATTATCTTTAAGTGATTAATAAAAATAACAGTTATTTGATGTTAGATTTCATTGTATATTTTGTTTATAACAGCTATAATATGTCTGTCAAATTTAAGACAATTGACCACGATATTTGATATTTGTGTTTATTATTTATATAGTAAAGAATATAGATAATAGATTTTAGATTGTATTATAATATAAAGTGTACATTTATACTTGTAAGTTATTAACCAGGATATCTCTTCCATTAGTCATGCGAAAACAGATTATTAATAGGCATTTATTTTCCAAGATTTTTTCACTTTTTTCCGGTATTCGGTCATACTCATATATAGACCTTTTTTGTTGGAGCAGTGTCATAATTTTGACACAGGCAAATGATTTTTACCAATACAATAAGAACAAGCTATAGTAATACATTACCTATAATATACTAATTATTATGCAATATTTTTCAATGTGCTAATAAAAATTAATTTTTCATTGCTGTAGTCCATTATTATAAAATTGATTCAATTGGCGTAAACATTTTATTTTATATATTTTATAACCTCGTGGTTATAAGTGTAATTTATGAAAAGTTATTAAAATTCAAAATCTACAGCGTAATGGTCAATTAATTGTATAATGTCATCCTAGCAAATGGGTTCTATACATGATTTTTTATTAAACAGCATTTTCAATTGTACACATATACTAGGTAACTTGTATTTTGGTTTCCGTAAAATAATGACACAAAACAAATAACACAATATTATGTTTTAACTCAAAAAAAACATGGAATTCTTATTCACTCATGTACCCTGTCGAAAACAAGCCACTCATGTTAGTATTACAAAATATA